GCTGGGAGGGCAGTGTGGGCCCGAGAGCAGGGTACCGGTAGGGTTCGAGTGTGTGGGCTGGGCTCAGCCCGGACCGGGCCTGCCTGGAGCCCAGAGCGTCGGGGTCGGGGCGCCTGCGGTCCAGTCTCTGCGGCGGACACGATCCCGAAGCGACGATTCCCAACCCCCCGCGATCCCGCTGGGCTTGTATCCGTTGTGTGTGTGCGTGTGCGTGCTTAAACATTCTTCCTCCGCCGGAGGACACCCCCGAGATCATTTCCACTTGAAGATGTGACGGTAATGATGGAACCGAGCCAGTTAGTGTGTGTGTGTGTATATATATCTCCGTATTACAGTGTATGCAGGTGTACGTCAGTGTAACGGTGTTAGAAATACCCTGTACTTTGACAATGTGAAAGTAAAAGCTTCTCCAAGGACAGGCTGTGTCTCTGAGGTGGTGTCCATCGTGTTCTTAGTATAAGGTGTTGTTCCCCAATTCCTGCCGTAAGGAAGAGAGCACCGGGGATCTCCTGCTGCTCGGCGCTGGAGCAGGTGCCGTTGGGAAAAAAAACCTTAGAAACAACGAAACAGCTCGCAAGACACAGAAAACAGTCTCAGGTTTATTGTTCGTTGCAACCTCTGCACAGACAGCAGGTGTGCTGTTCGCACTGGGACCTCTTCGAGACACACAGTGGACAAGGGAGAGACCGCCGTCTCCCCTCCCCCTCTCTCTCTCCTCCGCTTCCCCGCATCACGAAGGACGAGCCGATGGAGCAGTGAGCCGGGGGATGCTGGGATGGAGGAGGACTCGGTGCAGCCGACCAGTGGTCAGACCTGAGAGAGGGAGACGAGGGAAGGAAGAGGGGTTTTACGTACATGAAATCTCCACCAGGCGGGGCTACAAGACAGAAACAATAATGTGGAATAAAGCCCAGACTGGACCGGCGATCTCTGGACTGTGGGGGTACAGTGTGACCTAGACTGGACCGGCGATCTCTGGACTGTAGGGGTACAGTGTGGGACAGGACTCACCCAGCGTGCTCACTCCGTCGCCTGTCCTGCTGACTTCAGGCAGGCCTGGAAGGCGTCCATGACATCCCTGCAG